GCATGTCCAAATTGCCCATAGGTGCGCATGTGAATGTGCCTTGAGATGGGTTGACGCCCCATCCTGGGTTGTTCCTTGCCATTCACCCATAGGCTCCAGACCCCCTGCGACCCTCAATAGGACAAGCGGTTTCAATTTGATGGATGGGTGCTTTGTAGTGGTTCATATAGCATCCTAACAATCTGCTTAACATTCGAAAGATTAACTGAATTACCTGGATTTAAAGGTTTATAAAAATCAGGATGGAAAATGCTTGCCTTTAAGTGCTGTTTCTGTATCATAAACTTGGCATAGGGGTGGTTGTTAAAACACTTCAAAGCATACCTCTCTGCTAATCTAAGTACATATTTAACCTGTGATGTACGTGCTCCAACAAATATACATTCTGTGTATGTCAGCTGTGCTATATATTTTTTTATATATATATAACTAAACATCCATCTTCCATAACTGTTTAATCAGTAGAGGCCAGTCCCAGGATGTGCTGGGTACCTGACACCCTGGGTGGGATGCCAGTTCATCACAGGGCACATACTCACACACTGACTGAGAGCTTCCAATTGCCTTAACCACAGGTGTTACAGACTGTGAGAGAAAACCCACACAAACATGGGTCAAAAATGCAGAATAAATATAGCAGGGACAGGCAGCCCTGCTCCTGGAGTGCCAGTATCCAGCAGGTTTTCTGTCCTACCTGGACAGAAAGGCAAAGCTTAAGTCTCTGTCAGGGTGCCAGGCAAATAGTAACTCTGACGAGAGTTGAGATCCGATCGCTCTAACCACATTAGGAGGTGGTCTAGGACGCATATGGCCATATTCTTTAAACAGCGTGAACGCGAACGTGTCCCGGGCCGGACTGAAGGACCGCCTACTCACCTGACGTCCTCTGGGCGTAACTACGTAGCTACGCATTAAACGCACGAACGGTAATTACATGATTTTTGTCATAACGTCTGGCATTCAATAGCCTAGGTAATGGATTCGTTAATAGTAACATATAATAATAGTGTGATTGTTTATAGAGTTTTATATTGGGCTGTCCGGGCCTGACTACTTAGCTTCTTTTGATTAACTTGCTCCAGGTCAGACATATAATTCAGCGTATCAGACAAAACAAAGAACCTCTTCGTTGAAATTTTAACAAATTTTGAGCTTCATTGGTTATGATTAAATCCGAAATATTATCATATGGCAACCAACATAATGCATTACAGACAGAACCCTTTGCCCTTGAACAGAAAAGTATTAACCTATAGTACTGGAAGACCTTTTTAACACGTATATTTGCATAGTATATTGACGAGGAATAAAAATGCATGCCTACAACGTGAAAAGTTGAAGTTCAGTTATATATAGTTTAAATTAAGAAATCACAGTTGCATTATGTGTAATAATATTCTATAATGACTGTCTATAACGCCAATACGAAATACAATTTAAAGATTACACATAGAAGATAAACATTATTAAGAAATATAATACCCTTTATGAAATTATTTAAAAGTAAATATTGAAATATTTACTTATTCGTTTATTTATTTATAGATATATTTATTTATTTCATTTAGATTATTATGCCGTTTTTAAGGCTACAAACATCGTGGGTTTGTTTACCCTGGAATGTGCCAGTAGCTTTTGATTTCTTCTTCTTTTAATGTTCAGCAGACTGTATATGGAAGTGAAGTACTGCAGCCCATAGATAGACTTCCCATGACCCTGAATACAAGTGAGTATGGAGGATAAATGTGTTGCTTGTAATACTATTCATGATTTTTCGACCACTTAATCATATCAAGTGATACAGAAATATATAAAAAATATATGTAACATAATTAACAATAAAATTAAAAATGAAAGGCTTACAGTTGTTCTTCTGTGCGAAATCAGCATCTTTTAATGAGCTGTGTATGCACATATTTAAATAATCAAATCAATCTGTGTGTAAACTGTAAACATTTAAAAAGTGCTCACTGAATATTTCAGTTTTTTCTTTTTTATCTTGCAGTTCCACCTCTGTTGAACACGTCCTCAAAGATGCAAATCTTCAAAATCTCCACCAATCAAACAGATTCCTTCCTCTTACCAGTCGTAATTTAAATTGCAGAATTTGTATGATTTATTTATAGCGTGCACTGAAAACATCTGTTAAGTTGGCTTTTCTGCACAATAAATACTAACTGGTGCAATATTCAGCACTGCATAAGTGAGGCAAAAACAATAATTATGCTGTTTAAGAAAGCCAGCTTGTCAATACTATCCATTACAGGATTTTAGTGCTACCATACCTGCAATGAAATCTAATTTCTTATCTACATGCAATGACATCTAATTTTCCATCTGATTCCTTGCCTCCAAAAAGTGTGTGTGTGCGTGTGCGTGTGCGTGTGTGTGTGTGTGTATGTGTGTGTGTGTGTGTGTATGTGTGTGTGTATATTATAATCCTCGTCAGCTAGATATCCTTCAACATATCTGTAAACTTTTCCAGCAAGCTACAGTACAGATGTGAGTGAGACAAGCAGGAAGGAAGGAAGGGCTGGATCATTGTTGGACTAGGTGCCGTTAAAGACACAGCAAATGTCTAAATGCAAATATTCCCAGGGACAGACAGCCGGCGCCTCGCACAGCAGTCCCGCAGAGAATGGCTGTAGTCCCTGTGTGAAATTCCAGATTCCAAAATGCAGCACATTTTGATGAAGAGATGCAGAATTTACCACGCCTATGAAAGATATAGTTTACAATGAACTGACAGTGCAGTGAAGAAGCAGCATATTTATAAAGTAAACCAAAATAAATTACATATTGTACAGCTATTTTTGGTTGTGTATTTCCCGTGTACATTATTATAATCTTAACTGCTAATAAAACAATTGCTACTAAAACTAATAAGTACTAATTATTACCAATGAAACTGCCATCAAGCAACTCACACTGTGATATTTTTAATAAAAGTAACACTGCTCAGTGTGAGACTGTGCAGAAATGTAAGTATTGCATGACTAACATATTTATTTGGTAAGGAAGGATTCTTAAACAAGCTTGAATTGCAAACCGTAAAATAAATCACAGGTATTAAGAACTTAAAATGTGTCAGTGTCTTAGGCAATACTATAAACCTGTAATTTCTATCAAAGTATTTACAGTCAATGAAATAAAGAAAAACATTTTTCCAATATCACTTTTCCTCCATGTAGGTTTCATGCATGGCCAAACGCTATACCAAAGAGAAGTCAGAAACATTGAAATTTGGATAAATCATTCACCGACTGAAATTTAATGCATTTAAATGAATAAAACCTTGTCAGGAGAAAGATACTGACGACAATTAAAACTGTATTTTACAGAATATGGAGTCGTCATTCTATTGTAGCCCTGATTTTCTGCATTCTTTCCATGTTGCTTTCAGAGACAATATATTAGACAGATTTAGAGTGAGACTAAGTATTTATCAAGGCAAACACCTGTGTGCATCATGTGCAGTACCGGCTGCAATAACGTAAAAAGTAGCCTTGTCTTTTGTGTCATAATTCCTCTCTAAATGCTTTATACCATTTGCCAAAATGCCACATAATTTAAATGAATCAAGTTTCGCTAAATGATGTGTTCAGTGAGACTAAGTATTTATCAAGACAAACACCTGCCGCCACTAAAACCTTTGACAGTTACATCTTGTTATTGTGCATGTACTGTGTTCTCTTACCCAGGTCAACCACACTGTCCCTTAGCTTGATTGTGTAGGGTTTCAAATCCTCAACTAATGGCCTCCCATTCACGAAAACTCCAGTACAGGCTTACAAGCTTCGGGCTTAACTACAACTGATCAAGGCATTTCCTAACAGAGTGTAGGATTAATACAAAGCCTTTTTTCCCCGGGCTTGTTAAGCTGTTAAGGTGTTTAGCTATCAAAGCCACTGTTCAGTAAATAGTTGTGAAGTGAGACTTTGATCACTAGCTGGAGTACAACATGGTATAACCTAGAGCTGCCTAGCTAATTCCTGCCCAGCTGAATGTACTACATTTTTGTGTGCATCATGTGCAGTACCGGCTGCAATAACGTAAAAAGTAGCCTTGTCTTTTGTGTCATAATTCCTCTCTAAATGCTTTATACCATTTGCCAAAATGCCACATAATTTAAATGAATCAGGTTTCGCTAAATGATGTGTTCATTACAATGCAGTGTACACTCTTGGTGTCAAAATGTCTAATATTTAAGCATTCAAGTGTTTTATTTGACAGCTTTTACTTCTACCAATGAAAAACCCACAACTTCTGCAGATTAATTTCCGTAAATCTGGTTCCTTATCTACTGATTAGCCTGCCATTTTTCATTCAGTGTTTTAAATGACACAATTAATTTACAGGATTGCATAAATATGTTTGCACCATTACCATCTGGCAAGGAGCACATGGCAATCAGATCCTGGACAAACAGAATAAGACACTCTATCTCCCTAAGTTGTGTTGTCCATCTCCCCTCCCCACTCTGCAAACATGTCGCTTCTCGGGAAATATTGTAAATATTATAAATTGTAAATGCAAATAGCACAACTCAAAACTGTAACTTATTTCACTGCATATTTATAGAATCCCCTGCTTAAATTGTTTACTGCTTCCTATATACCTATTTTCATGTCTCCATTTTGATAACCTATACATATTTTTTTACAGTTTATGTTCTTTGAGAGAGCTAAAAAAGGAAGAGATGTCAAAGAAATTATGGAAGTAGAATGACATTGAAGTTTTCTCATCTTATCTTACAGATATTGCAAATTACATCACAGTCACTAGAAAATGGCAAAATTAGACTGGAAGATTAAAAGAATTGTTGTTAGTTTCACTGGAGAATTCAAGTAAACTCCACCAAATCTAATCAAACTGAAAGAAATCGAGTCTCAGGCATTAAGCACCAGCTGAGACTGATGTGAAATCAGAAACAAAAGTGATTTTGTCAGGTCACTGCAACAAGGGTTATAGGAAGTGATTCAGGAGGGATCGCGTTCTACCTGAAGTTGTGCATGAACTGCCGGAACTTGTCTGCCCGCTTGGCCAGGGGCACGATGATATTGATAAGTGTGTAGGCCGTGTCCACCTTCTCATTTTTCACTTTCATCAGCGGACCGAACGGCCGGAAGAACAGCAGCCTTCTGAACTCGTGGCTCTGGTCACGCCTGAAGGTGAGCTCATACAGCGTGCCCTTGTCCTTCTCGGTCCGGGAGATCCCTGCCAAGACAGGCCATTACTATTTCAAGGCATTCTTCCCAATGTGCGAGTTGAAAATGTAACATTTTATATATTGCAATACATGTTGTAACCAAACTACTATCTACCTTTATACCTCTATAGTCAAAATATTTTTCATGAAATAAGATGTACTCGCTAATAAAAATATAACTTTGGGAAATGAGGCATAAAGGAGTGTACATAGTCAGGTTTGTAATAAAAAGGTCACTGTGACTCAAAGTCACATATTTTTAAAAAATGAAGCACTCTTCATAAAAGGTCTTGGGAAACAGGAACTACTTGTTTGTAAGACAATGATTCCTTAGTGAAAATTATGCTTAACCTAACCACATGGAAACTGCCAGGTGGAACTGAAAGCTACTGGAAGGCTGATGTCGCCCTTTTTCATCTACGGCTAAGGCATAAAAATTACGATATTCCTTTATGGTGTTTCTGCAGAGAGATAGAAGCACTCAGAATGGGAGGAAGACATCATTCAAGGCTGTGTAAAAAAAAAAGACACCTTAACTGGGAGAGATGATGAGAAAACAGTAGTCACTATAAATGCGCCGTTCACACGGAATCGAGGACGCGTATTTTACAAGCGATGTTGCATTTGTGTAGTGCTTTATCGCTCAGGCATAAGTGCATATTTTTAACTGAAAATAAGAATTTTGTAGTGTTGTGGTTTTATTCCCCATGGAATGCCTAATGAGAAGTGCAAGATTTTTAGAAGTCGGCTACATATTTTTCCATTGAGTGGATAGTGTTCAGTTTTGATGTATTACTTGCTTAGAGCAAAAAATATTGCATTTTAATTTAAATGGGACATGGTCCAAAAATCAAATTTCGATTCAAACAGGAAACCTGTGAATCCTCCAGTGTCGCACTGCATTCCTAAGGGCTGAAGGAGCCACATAGCAGCGAGTCATAATAGATAAGGCAATGAGTGTAAATCTCGAAGGTCTTGAATGACTCATTTTTGAGGTACGACTGCAAGCTTCCATTTCCACAGCGAACAGTCAAAGCTGAAAGCCACCACAGTATCAATATCCATCAAGCCTGCGAGCAGCGAATCACATGTGGGTAAAGCACAAGGAGACAGCGCTCAGAGAGCATGAGGCTCACTGACCCCTGGCCTGTTGGCCATCCATTGAGCTAAACTTCAAGTACCATGAAAATAAAACAACTTAATGGGACAGGCCTATTTCCATGGCAATGAGGGAGGAAACGAGGGCATCTGAAGTCCCGCCACTGACCGGGGCAAGATATTTCAGGGCCTCCACCCATAAAAGCAATTCAAGATGGCTCTCCAACAGATCAGGCACCAGAGTGCCTTCAGACAGCAGAGAAATTGTGATATTAGCAACCGTATTTGGTAGCTCTTATTTGGAACACGATGACACTTCATGAGGAAGCATTTTCATTCAGACCAAATTTTCAGAATTATTTTTGTTAAATGATACTAGGCTTATAATAATAGGGAATAAGTAAAGTAAATACTTACTAAAATAATTCAATGCATGATATTTGTAACATTCTGTAACATAATGATTATAAACATTACCGCCAGTATTCGTGTAGTAATTCTTAAAGTGGAATGCCAGAAATGCTAGGTGTTTCCACAATTCTGGCCCCTAGTGTATATGGGCATATGGATTTATGTGAGGGTGCTGGTATATGAATGTTTTTCTTGTCCCTATCTTGTGGATCTATTTTTTTTTTACATATTTATTTCCCTTCTGTACAGCATGGCCAAGCTCTGTATATAATCGATTATAGTATGTTTTGCCCAGTATTGCACATAAATGCTATTATAAACTGTGCCTGGACTGATAGCTGACCAAAAACAGAGGGTTCAGTATCTCAGATTCTCCTATGGGATTAAACAGCTGCGCTCATTTCCTGCACAACGATCATCACAGACCATCTGACACATGCTACCCAGAACACGACTGCAAAACACCGTACTGTCTTATGTGAGACTGACACATTTCCTCTTCTGATGAAGGACTCCAAAAAATATTACCTGTGACATTTTTATTAATAAGGAGTGAAAAGGAAGACCGGAAGATGAAACATATAAGCAAACAATATAACACAATTTATATTCACAATTTTAATATTAAAACTGACATCCATAATTCCTGTTCTTCTGGATGGTGGCATCACAATCTGTTTGATCTAATGGCCCAAAATTGACATAATGGTAAGCAGGCAGCAGTGACATGCACAGACTTATCAAAGGGAAGGTTCCCAAATAGGGGGGTCAGTCCATCTAGGTACACTTTCACATTCGTGAGGGTAGGTGGCCCTTGGGAGACTTTGCCTAGTAGTCGTCAGTAAAAAAAGGGCATAAAGTACATGAATGGGGGGGGGGGGTACTCTTAATTGGTCAGGTAAAAGGGGCAGGTGCTAAGTATAATTGTATAATTACAACCCCTAATTGTAGCCCCTCCCTCCCAAATGGACCAGGGCAAATTATGGTTTCAGTCATTAGAATGATGTGTACAATTATACTGAACAATAATGTGACGTTCAACAAACCTTCCACGAAGTCTGCCGTTGAGTAGGCCTTGTGTGGCAGGAGGTTGCTGCCCTCCCTCGGAGAGTTCAGGACCTGCAGAGCCATCTCTATGGTCTCGCTGAGCTCGTCACGGCGGTCCTTGCGGACAGGCTTCTCCTCCGGGTGCCGGGTGAGGCCCATCTCCAGCTGGTAGACCTTCTGCAGGGTGAAGCTCTCGAAGGGCACCACGGCGTACTCGCTGGGCAGCTTGGTGCCCTGGTGGACCTCGGCCCGGTTCAGCTGGCTCCGGAAGAACTCCTGGAGGTCGGCGTGGCTCCACTCTGACGTGCCGTCCAGGAGGTCCACCGGGGACACCCCAGCTGCACGCTCACGCGAGTCCTGCATGCTTCTAAGCTGCTCGCTACGCTCCTGTAGGGCCTCCTTCAGCTGGGAGATCTGCTTCTTCAGGCTGTTCACGTAGTGGCGGTGCTGCTCTTCTCGCTCCTGCAGCAGCGCCTGAAAGCCCTCCTTGCCTGTAGGGCCATTGGCCCGGGGCAGCAGCACCTGGGCCTCGTCGGACCACGGGCTGCAGGCTAGCGTGTAGAGCAGGGACAGGCAGCAGCACACCACCACCAGCGCCAGGGCCAGGCGGGACACCCAGGTGACAAGTCCCCTCCTCAACATGGTGCACGACTGCTACATCAGGGCCACTGCACACATGCTGCTGGGAGTGGAGGAGGATTCCGCATGGCAGCGATGAGGCTGAAGCAGGTCCTGCTTACATCTACAGCCAGGCACTGATTCCAGCTAATCACAAAATGCAAAATAAATATATTTCTAAGGAAGGTTTATCTGAAAATTAAAAAAAGATTAAAATATTGTCTCAGGCCCCCATTAAGTCACGCTAAATACAGTAAAATCATGGTCAGTAAATCATCAATGTGTGTTTCGGCTAAACAGTATGGATTCTGTTTATTCAGAATTCTCCAGGGCCGTGTAATGAGGCTTTACAGTATTTATTTCTGGCTGTCACTACTGGCTCCGTTACACTTCTGATGAAACGTTCTCTCCCTCCCTCTCCCCATTCTGACGGGGGGGAGGAGCCGCACTCCACACCGTCCTTAGTGATCCCAGCTGTTTAGGGTTCCCTCCTGACTCAGTGATAGTTCTCCAGTCACAGTCCTTGGATCTGTCAGTCACTTCCTGTCAGGTTACCGAAAACATCCGTCCATCATCTGAGCCAGCGGCAGCGAAGGGCTTGCCAGGCTTCGGCAGGGCAGGAAGTTCGTTCAGCCGAACTGCTCGATATTTCGGCTCGTTTTTAATAAGGCCTGACACACCAAAGGGGACACACTCTCAGGAAGTGGCTATTCTGACCACTAAAGAACTCATGTGACCCCAACTGAAAATTGGCAATATCAGCGCACTATTTTCACTGCACCGCCAGCACTACAATTAAAATAAATACTCAAACAAATGCTGCTTTAGTAGTATTTTCCAGTGAATGATCTTCATTGCTGTATATATTTATACAGACTGAAAAAATATAAATATGGCTCTTTGACTTTATTAATAACAACTTTATGAGATTCCTATGTTAAGCTGGAGTGCTCAAGAATTGACTGTTTCTTAATAAATAATTAACATTTGTCTGCAGTCTCCGGTGCATTCAGTAAATGGTGCATGGCACTTTGTGAATTTAAACTGATATTTGAATGGGAATGGTCCTTTCGCAGATGGCATCATTGCTTGCGTCTTGAACAGAGTCTGAAACAAAAGCAAAAGAAAGAAAGCAGTTACGCAAATGCTTAATGACTTGGACAGAGACTCCTGGTATTCCAGAGTAAACAAAAAGATATATTTCATAAGCCTGACAGGTACTTTTAGTGTTCTACCCATGCTAGTGTAATATTTCAGGCTCTTTTATTATTTTAGGTTAGATCAGTCAGTGTGTTGCTCTAACACCTGATACAATTGAAGTAGTTAAATTGCAGAGATTTATTATGCATTCACTGCAATGCATGTTCTTTTAGGTAATTTTGGACAAAAATGAATGAAAACAATCACTTGTGAATGCTATAAAAGCAACAATGTTGTCTAAACCAAAATGTAACCAAAAAACATGACTTGCTTAGGAAACACTGTGGAAGTGAAGGCTATACATCAATTTTAAGTGCCAGACCTCTGGAACAATTTTCAAAGCCATTTAGAGTGAGTGTTGGCCTCCGGCAAGGGTGACTCTCGTCTCGACTCCTGTTTGTGATTTTCCTGGACACGATATCAAAGCACAGCCGTAATTTTAAGGGCCTCCGGTAATGGGGAGCTACAGTACGTTCCGGCTATTGCAGATGATGTCGTGCTTTTGGCCTCACCCGACATGGACCTACGGCACGTATTTGCGCAACACAATGCTGAGTATAAAGCCACAGGCTGAGAATCGGCGCCGTGAGGCTATGGTGCTCTCTGGGAAAGGGCTAGACTGATCATTTCAGGAAAGGGAAGAGTCTGCCTTTAGCAAAGGAGTTTAAGCACTTCGGGATCTCATTCATGAGTGATGGTAGTAGGGACGTGGGATCGAGAAGCGGATCGGTTTGGTTGTCGCAGTTTTGCAGGGACTGAGGAGGTACATAGTGATCATACAGGAGCTGAATGAGGCTTGTGGTTTCCTGGTGAATGTCCCTAACCTCACATATGGTCGTGAGCAATGGGTAATGACCAAAAGAACAAGGCCACAAGTCACAAAGCCAGAATGAGATTTCTCCTCAGGGTTCTGTGCTGCTCCTTTGGATTAAGACTGGATTGGGCATCACATAAAGATACCAGCTGGAGATCCGTCTCATGCTTGGAGGACCCAGGACAGACTGTAGGGGTTATATCTATCTCAGCAGGCTGCCACTGCAACCCTCACCAGGAGAAGCAGTGCAGAGATGATAAAGGTGATGATGACCTCCAGAGGACCGATGAACGCTCAGAGCTGCAGCGAACTGCAAAAGCCTGCAGCAACACTTTTTTTTAATAGCTTGTAGTTCAAGGACTCGTACAACTGCGGCAGGATATGGAAACACGACTGCAAGCTGAATTATGAGTGAGAAAAACCACATTCACACACCGTTAAATATTATGGCATTAGTATTATGCAGACATAAATTTTAGTTTAGGACTTAAAGCAAAATTAGCTTAAAGTCATGAAAAGAGAAGAAACAAGAAAACAGTGAACGAGAAGAAAGCATGCAGGTGAGGTGGGTGAGTATGACGTGTGCCTCCGTGCATCGCACGCGCCATGACTGCCAAGGCTTGCCGGACAGGCAGCTGGGGGGCACACCTGCCGGTCGGCTCCTGGTGCACGCATCTACGGCGCACTGCAGCTGGCTATGCAGAACTCATTATGACATCGGCTGGGCTTCATCTCACTGCGTTGAGCGTCCGTGGCCCTGCAGTGACACCAGCCCAATCCAGCACAGAAACAACCCGCTACGTAAAATTCTGTAAGATGCATAAGATCCAGAAGCCTAATAGCTAAAAAATGCACAACTAGTCTGCTGGTACATTTTCAGGTTTGAATTCCACTCCTGCTCTGTGTGCATGGGGACCCCCTCCTAGGGCACAACTTTTGGTGAACTAGTGACCCTAAATTGCCCTTATTGAGTGTGTGCCCTCACATTGTGGCAATAACATGTTGTGATGCAAAGAAAATACGAAACAACTGCATACTACTGTTAGGCATAAACTAAGATCAAGGAAGCGGAAGAACTTTCATTAACAGATGTGTAGAGATAATGATACTATCGATAAGTTCAACTTGACCATTTAACCTTGGTCTGTTGCTAAGCAACAATAACATCCTTGACTGACCAATACAGCTATAATTTAATGAGGTATACAAATTATTTTCATCTGATCTTATATAAACACAGTGCATAGCATTCTCTCCCTCTACGGTTGGGTGGTTTGCATCCTAACCTCACTATGAGTTTGCATGCTCTCATCATGTTGCGCAGGTCTTCTACAAGTACTCCGGGCCTCCTGGAGTCCAAAGACATGCAGTTATTTAAATTGGCATCCCCGAATGTGCTATTGTGGGCAAGCACATTTGTGCTCTGTCATCAACTAGTATCCCTTTCAGGGTGTTCCCTTGCCTTGTGCCGTATGTTGCAGGCTCACCATGACCCTGTACTAGATAAATGGTTAGCATATGGATGGATGGCCTTCTTTTCAAAAATCAGACTACAAAATCAAATCAAATAAGATGAGCACTGCAGTCACTTCACATCTGAACTGATCCACAAATGAAGAAACAGGGCTGCAGAAAAAGCAGCCGACTGAAAAAGATGCCAGGCTTTTTTTCAGAGGAAGAACAGCTTCCCAGTATTCTAGCATGCAGCTGAAGCCCTCCAGCAGGGCCGCCCTCAGCAGAGAGGAGCAGGCAGAGCGTGGAGAGAGCGTCTGCGTGTCCGTGAGCTCGTGTCCGACGGCATGTGCCCAGTGACTCGCCGCACAATCTGCCTTTATGCGTGCTCAGCGAAGACCTGGCTCACTGAAACGATCCCTTACACTCGCTCCCAATGCCGAGCTGTGCATCCTACTGGTCTGAATGAAATGGGAACCTTCTGAAAAGTTTGCTACTAAAAAAAGCCTGAGAAAGTTTTAAAAAGGTATAGCTATGATACATTTACTGTGGCAAAAAAAGTGTATGGTTTCTGATTAAAAAATATCCTGCTTGATCAATTATGGATACCTGCACAATAAAAACAAAACAGTGAACAAAAAATGAAACAGAAATACAATCCAGGGTGCTTACGTGTGGGAACACTTTATGGATCGCCAAGTAAGATATCACATACTTCCTGAAAATAGGTTATTGTGTCCTTGGCTAAACACTAACTGGGTAATACCACAATGCAGTCACTCAGTTTTCCATTAATCAAGATCTCACTGGCGTTGTTCCCTGTTTTTTACTGTAAGATTTATCCCTTAAGGACCTGGAGGAAAACAACGTTTTAAAATTCATCAATGCTTTTTTTTTCCATTGGTGCTTTTTTTTTTTTCCTGAGGCGAGTTTCCAAAAGCATGGGTGTAACTAGGCAGAAGCGCTTTCAAACGGCACAAGAGAAAAGGCTGAGGCTTTTATTCACTGCCACTTTAGGGATTTACATGAGTAGCATAAGCTTATATTTATATATGAGAAACCAGATTTCTGCACTAAACCCTATTATGTTAAAAGAAAAAAAAAAACAAACATGAAAACGACACCCGTAGAACTTCATGTCTTTTCAGAGTACTGGAGTGCACAATACTGCAATTTGATCATTTATGACCTACATTATAATAAAAGATAGAAGATATCACTTAAAATGTCCATCCTGCTTTCTCATATTAAGGTTCTATTAATCTTTTTAGCTGCGGCTGGTTTACTGGGTAACGTGATGCGTGCCAATTACGCATTTTTAAACTTGGATGCAACCTTTGAGATTAAGCTGGCGCACTGTTAAATGCATTAGTGTGCCCACTGCCTATTTTAGGAATCTAAACCTGGATGGAAGTGGATGGAAGATGGATGACTGGATGCAGAGACTGATGGATGAAAGGACAGAAAGATTCTAAAATGGGCAGACTGTGTGTCCCGTTGTAATGTACCCAATTTGTACCACAGTTTGTACCTCTGAACTTCAGAGCAGATAAGAAAATATGCAATGGCTGCAATGTTCTTTTCTGGGATCTGGAAACTTTATCATGGCAACATTCCTCAGATTCAGGGCCAGAAGACTATTTAAAAGGAGCCAGTAATGTATGCATGCACCAAGGTAACCCTTATATATATATAACCGGGTATAGCACGGGACTTTTCATAGGGTTAGGTACCTGTAATTGCTTTTAATGTGGACATGCATCAATCTGTCTCTAGCAGACGTTAGAAAGAAAGCAACTGAAAATTGTTCCCCAATTATCCAGATTGTGGGAAAAAATCACTTGGATAAAATGCACCATGGTGGTGCCCTTTGTATGCACCAATAGTTACAAGCCAAACTTCTGGCTATATATCTAGCTATATAACTAATACATCTAACTTGACAGTACAGTCACTCTTGCAAATGTCCAGTTGTTGTCCACTTGCACACCTGTTAAATTGTGCCCATTGCTAATTGAAAACATGGTTGCAACTCATCTTCACTTGATTTACCCTGCCATTTTGGCTGCACTTCTGAGATGGTTTGATGAGTCACTTCCTCATTTTGAGGGTGTTGCACATATCGCTGTCATATCCCCATTTAGTCATGCATCTTTATGTTTGTGTTTATATCTCTTCTAAAATGAGAACATATTTGGTCACTGTCTTCATACTGTAGTAGCTCCATTACTATAGTTAGGCAGGAAATGAAGTCACATGGGTCACAGCATCCTCTGAGAGGAACTCCCACATACAGACAGCGTGGATCCATTTCAGCAGCATCTATAGAAAAACAGTGACTCATTCCAATAACCTCTGACCCTGTGCATCAAGAGAATCGCGTCCTTCCTACCAGAATCAGAATCTCTTTTATTTTCTAGTACTTCTCAAATACCGGAATTTACCTTTGATCACCCGGAAACTGCTCAACTCGAAAAGCCCACATAAGTGCAAAAGAACATTAACAAAATGAATATTAACATGAGGGAAGAGTACATCGGACAATAAGCAAATGTTGGGGGAATCACAACTCAGACACAATCTGTTCCTATTGTGTTGAATATACACACTATTGTATAAATGATACAACAACATGCAGATT